CGCCGGGGCAGGCGGGCATCTGAAAAATAGATTGCTGATCTCTCGCACCCCGCTCGCGGATTTTTTGGAAAGCGATCAGGACTTTTTGGAAGACCGCTTGCTGAGTCAGCGGATTTTTGAGAGACCGCCTGTTGAATTTTTTTCGCTCTTATCTTTTGCAGATATATTGCTGAATCTCTGAGGAATCGAGAACTCAGTAAGCGGTCTTCCGAAAAGTCCTGATTGCTTTCCAAAAAATCCGCGAGCGGGCTGCGAGAGATCAGCAATCTTTTTTTCCGGTGCCCGCCTGACCCCGGCGATTGTCTGAGTATCTGTTCCCGAATTTGTTGGTTTCTAGACCAACACCAAACCAACTGGGTTGGTCCGGAGCATAAATAGGAGAGTTCACATAAGTTTTGGACCTTTTTGATTCGGACGATTAGAACGGCCAGAAATCTATCATATAGTGAAGAGAGCGAATAAAACCATCGCCTCTCTTCTTTTTTTGAACCAAAAGTAGTGTATTCTACGCGTTGATAATCGCGCTCCAATCACATGCGGTGTCCTTTGAAAGCGGCGAAAAATACATCGCCAGATTGTTGAGGCCACAGATTTGGTTGGCCTAGGAGGTTTTCGACATTCTGGGCACTGGAATGGTATCCTACCCAATGTCAGAGCCTTCAGTCAACTCGAAATGTTTTCTTTTTGCTTTTTTGTTATATTAGGTACCTCAAATGCGCTTTTTTCGCTTTTTATTGCTATTTTGTTTGAATAATGGTTTCTTTGCCGATTTTTTTACGTCGAGAGGGACTTCGTAAATTTTCTCGAAGTCATAGGGGACTTCGTTCTCAAAAAAGCTCCAAACCAACGCGTGCCGGGCCCTGGCTGGGAATTGGCACTGAGGGAGGGGGGAGGGGGTAAGTGAGCATGCTGGTAACTATTAACTAACGCAGCGAGGATAGAGAATTGGAATGTAGAAGCAGGCGTAGGGGAAGGTTGTACAAGGATAGGGTTTTGTTGTTCATAATGTTTTGACAGGGCGGGGCGGAGCCGGATAAGCCAGCTAGTGCGTTATAATCAGACGGCTAATGTAATTGCCCCACCTACTTGCCAGCGAGCCATAGGGTCGTTAGTTAGCTAAACAATCTACGACAAGGAGACCTTGGCACACCCCCTAATTTGCGACACCTTTTAATAAGATGAATAGCATCCTTCACAAGCCTTGACCATTCTATATGATGGTGTATTGTCGTTGCGTTTGCCAAAAAAGACTGTGGCGGAATCCTTTATCCATCATATCACTATGTTACGTGTTTATAGCACAACAAAAATTTCAAGGTATTTTTAGCTTCAGCCTTGATAAAGACGTACAAGTCAGGTCACCAAAACATTACTTGAAGCAGATAACAAAACTATAAGTCGGAATTTTGCAATCAATTTTTTCAGGCACGCTATTTTTCCAGCGAAAAAAGCTATTGCGATATGAGCACAATACCTCTGATTTGTGAAGAAAATAATCACCGTACTTCACCGAAGTTCGCTAAACTTCGCGTCGCATGCCATATCTTGCTTGCGTGAATTTTGCATTCAAAAGCACCACTGCACTCAGCTCCACTGTATGCATCATTTGTTACATAGAGAAGTGCTTGATTGGGCACACAGCCTTTCTTGAGCGAAAATTTGGAATGACGTGGAATCTGGCAGACTACCTTGTCCACAAGCACTTCTACTAATATTAGGTTGATTCATAATTAATGCGCGTTTTTGTCACCTCTTTTTCCAAGCGCTGGTTCTTCAAGGAAACTGAATCTTTCTCAAAAATCTCAATACTATCTGAAAGAGCGTTTCTTCTAGTTTCTTGCATATTCTTTCTTTTTCGTGGCACTCTGTAAGAGAGCGAATTCCACGCTTTGGATTATGAGAGACTTGAAATAAAAATTCTTTTCTTTTATTCTTTTTGCTCTAATTCCATGAGAACAAAAGATGCTGATTTCAACAAAAAAAAGCCTAACAATTGCGAAGCTTTCTGCTATAGAAATCTCTATTAAACAGAATTTTGCCAAAGGCTCTGAGATGAGAGATTCAACCACAAACTTGGCCGGTCATTGTGGCCTTTCGAAGTCGTATAAAACTTTGAAACAAGAGCCAATGGCTGCGATTTTGCTTTGTACACAAGGACTAGACGAAGCACATTAAATGATAGAACAACGGTGAGATTTTGCACCTTTTTAGTGGCGAAAATTTTGAAAATTCTCAGAAATAGACAATTTTCCGCTTTTTTGAAAAAGCTAGAAAAAGATTACCTTTGAACCTATTGCAGTAACTCGTCGTAGAAAAATACCAGAAAATCCGGGTTTTTTGTGCCGCTGCTCTATTGACCATTGGTTGCGCAGTGAGCAAAGTTTGCGCTTTCTTCGCTGCTTTCGCTTTGAAATTTCGGGGGTTAGAAGTGGCAGAGAAAGATCGGACTTTGGCAGATAGATTTCATTATGGAGGCTCCTACCTGTGACCTTGTTTTGCCACGGGACTCATTCTGCCGATCCACTGCCTTTAAGAGTAAGTTATGCTTTCTCAAATAGAGACTCTATAAATAATTCTTGGCATTTTTCGAATAATTTTACGGACTTTCTCGTCACACTCATCTATAAACAAAAGCATGCTTTGTAAAGCCAAAGATTTATTCTTTGCAATAACCTTTATTGCTCTTTGAAAGTTGATGTGTGGAAAGAATTGCAGCGCTTTGAAGATGAATTTCGAAAAACGTGCATTAATTATGAATCAACCTAATATATTAGGTTGGCCCGAAAGTTCTGTTGCACCACTGTCAAAAAATCATAACTTTTGGTTTTTCCAGCCGATTTGCGCATTTTCATTTTTGTCTAAAAAAGCAATTTATTTTCTTCATAGTGGTACTTTAGAGGTTTTCTGTTTAAGCATATGCATAGGCAGAAGCGGTGCAACAAAATTACTCAAACTTTGAATCTTTTGTGTGGGATCATAACAAATCCGAAAATTGCAATGAAAATTGAAGCTGTCAGTATTAGAAGTTCTAATACCCGCCCTTTAAACTGTACAAAGACAAAGATTGCGCTGAATGAAAGTCTTTAAAAAAACTTATGATTTTCGAGCAAGCAATACAAAAGAGCGAATTGATTTATTTTGGCATTTTTCCCGAGAATCATAATTTTTCAATGAGACGCTCAATCAGCACAAACCTTGCACAATTAGAAAAATCATGTAAAAGTATTTATACACTGACAGCTCCGATTTTTACTGCAAGTTTCAGGGTCGGTAGTAAACCTATCGAAACTCAGAGTTATAACTCAGAGTTAACTCTGAGTTATCTCTGAGCTAACGCGCAACTTTTTGACCCCCAAAACAGGTGTTTGAACAGATCAGATCCGGAAAGCGATGATATGGCAGAATTCTCCTTAACAGATAGTTTATTCCTAGTAGCGCAACATTGTCCAAATCGTCCTGCACAAGAAACAGCGACACCAAACGCGCAACTAGTGTCTGCAATAACTCTGAGTTTGATGCGCGTTCCAGCCTATCGTGGAACTTAGAGATAACTCTGAGTTTGGCCAGAGAAAGAGAAATAGTGCGCAAAAGAAGAGGGGCAGCTAAAAAGTCCTCCAGGGTACATTTTGCTCGTAGTTTAAGCAGGCATGATGGGGGTATCGTGGTGCGCAGTGATTTACAAAATTTTGAAATTTTGTAAAAACTTGGCCCACGGGGTTATTCGGTGCGTTGATCACGAATATGGCATGCAAATTATACTGTGGTGTCATCTGACGAGATTACGGTAGGTTTACGGTAGATAGGAGAAAATCACAAAACTGATTAAAACTTGGTACGCTGGGGTTATTCGGGGCGATGATCACGAATATGACATGCATTTTATACTGCAGTGTCATCTGATAAGGTTACGGTAGGTTTACGGTAGATGAATTAAAGCGGCGGAATTAGCCGAAATTTGGTACACTGGGGTTATTCGGGATTTAGATTACGGACAATCTATCTGCTACATACACTAGTGACATATGGAACGGTTACGGTAGGTATACGGTAAGTAAGACGAAATCATGGAAGGGCAAACTTTGCCCAGAGGATTTATTCTGTGCGCAAATCCTAATAGTAATTCTTATCATTGCGTATGCCATCCGTTTTCTCTATTGTTTGAAGCTTTCAGCTGCGCAAAAGACCAATCTTCGTGATAAACCATCATTGCCCGATAGAAATGGAAATGAGTGAGGCTTTGGTATAACTTGTTTTGACCTGCTAAGTGTTAATGGAATGAGTGAGTACATTATGGCAAAGCAACTTTAGGGTTCATGGGTGTGTCATGGTCTAGCGGTTTAGTGATAGGATCTTTACGTTAGACCATACAGGTTCGATCTACTTTAACGTCGCTTTTGCAGCAAAGTGCTTAACAGCTCCTCAAAGCAAAACTCCGAGCTTGGGAGTTGGAACTCGGAATTACGAAAGTGGAACTCAGAGTTTCAATAAGCGTAACTCAGAGTTTCAAAAACGGAACTCAGAGTTATCTCTGAGTTAACGCGGAGCTTCAAACTCGGAGTTTCGACCAGATTACTACCGACTCAGATTTTCTATGATTCTACACAGAAAACTCAAAATTTGAGTAATTCTTTCTCCACCGCCTCTATCTATACAATGTATGCCTATCGTGAAGCCATTAAGATACCGCTATGAAGAGAATGATTTGCCCTTTCGAACAAAAATAAACGCAAGCAAATTGGTTGGGAATCTCATGAGTTATGAATTTTTGAAAATAGTGCAGAACTTTCGGGATAACCTAATATATCAGGAGATCCAACTGATCGAGCTGATCAGTGGCGTTGGCTTCAGAATTCTAAGTTTACTTTGAGGCAAAACATGGATGCGAACCGAAGTTTACGATTACCGGGAGAGTGCGGTAAGTTTTTCACTAATAGTACACTACACAGTATATGTGCTTACCTACCAACTGCAATAATTTGGGAAAAACTCAGTATTTTTAGTTCCTAATGAAACCTTCAAGTATTATGGCGTGTGCAAAAATGGTGAATGGTTTGATACTTCAAGACGCCTTCTTCACGTGGTCTGCTATAATAAGGTCGGATAAAAACTTGGCATTTTGAGTTCAACATTTTGAGCAATAATAAACTTCTTGTGAACGGAAGTGTAATCCTTTGTAGCAAGAGTTTATGTGTTGCATCAAAGCAACTGCCATATTTGAAAAGGCATTTCAAAAAATATTCAAAAATGAAGTATATGTATGATTGGCTCTCAGATTCGTGTGGAGGTGTATTGCAGACTTTACCTGATAACACAAGTAAACTTGCTAAACCTCCACGTCATAGCATTGCTTTTCGTAATCTCTCGCTAGCAAAAACCGCCACGCGATGAGTTGGCAAGACTCCACCTCCACACGAATCTGGGAGCCGATGATACAGGGTTGGGGGAAAGTCTTTCAACACGGTATTTTTATCGGAGTCGCGAAACTATGCATCATAATTACATGAAATAATTATATAATGCTTATCAAACAGTCTACTTTACAAAAGCAACTTTACATTTCAAGATCCCTTCTTTGGCGCGAACACAGGCTCAAGACGTTTGGAAAAGCTGTCCACGGTGGCACGGAGGTACTCCACGTCGATTTCCTCTCATGTATTCTGAATAGCACGTCGCAGGGACTCCACAGTCTTATGTGGGTGAGCGCAGGCTTTGATGTAAAGAACTAATCACTTGCGGTAGTCAAGGGTATTCAAATCCGACCAATACGGAGGCCATTCCAAGGAGTAATAAAGTCTTTAACGTTGCTGTGCAGCCATGCTTGAACAGCCTTCACTTAGTGCGCAGGTGCGCTATCCTGCTATGAGCATCTATCGCTCCCCGGCAAATAGGTATTGATCCAGGCCAACAATGCCTTCTTCGGTATGCCATTCACATGCGTAGCAGTGTCCACCTTGAGCACTGAGACCCTGAAAACCAGCGACACTTGCTGTCGGAAGCGATCGCCACGCAAATTGTCACAAAAACCGGCTGAAGCTTTCCTTCTGCAAGTCAACCCCTGCTATTGGCTTCTTGGGGCGTTTAGGTAATGACTCTGTTGTTTTGGTGATCAAAAACCTGCTTCATGCTGGCAATTTTGACGTCAGAAAAAAGTATCGTTTGGTGGTGTGCCTTGAAGGGACGTTCAAGCCCTCGATGGCATCCGCGCAGTCATTTCAGCTCCATGTCTTCGCAAAAACCATGCATTTTCAGCATCTTGAGAAGCTTCATCCCAAGGCCTTGTTCCAGGATGTCGGAGACTGTTCTACCAGAGACGGACAGCTCTGAAGCCAGCTCAATCAAGCTCCGCCGAGGACTGTGACGATGGCGCTAGCGAACGATCCTCACATTTTCGTGAGTGTCCGCAGTAGCCAATTTTCACTCCTACAACAGTTCTGGGTGCTGTTCATATCCTGGAAACGACGCAAGGTGAGAAAGATGCTGATTTGTAAAATTTGATTAGCCCGCACAATCTGCTAATTAGCCATCTTCTCCTCGTGCATCTTCGCCACCAACGCTCATAATAGTCCAGTTTTTGGAGGGCTTGCAACAAAGGGTATAAGAAGCAAATGCATTTAATTAGCATATAAGAATATTTGGAAAATCTGAACATACAGTAACATCAGAAATTGTCTAAAGACTTTCCCCAACCCTGTAGATAAAGTGTACTGATAGTTCTTGTTGTGCCAAGCTTCGGACACCCCACCCTTCGTCGGCATTGTCTTGTCGGCACAAGATCAGCCAGGAATATTTGTTAATGAAATAATAAAACAGTAAATATAAGAGAAGCGAATGAGTGAACAAATGAACTGATTGAGGCTAAGAGTGAGCGCCTTTCATAGCGCTAGTATCTCGCGCACTCTGAGGTTGCGATCGACTACGCGAGGCAGATCACTATGAGGGACAACTGATCATTTATTAGGTTGTGTAGTAAGTTCTGTCCCATTTTTTCCTCCGATTCTTAATCAATAACAATTATCCTACAGTGCTGGCATAGCTATAAAGCCACCCTAAAAATCACTGTGGTTTGCTCTCTCTTGCTCAAAATTCTCTAAAAAACCACTATTCTGTGCGCAAACTAACTTCTTATCATTGACCAGAACGGCTCCTCAATTTCATTGATTTTGGCCGGAGAACAATTGAAAAATTTGAAGAAACGGGTTTCAAGGCTGGTCACGGCTATAAAACCACCACTCATTTTCAATCAGTACTATCAGTTTTTTGAATCTCAATTTTTTGCACATATACAACATCAAAGTATGGAAATTTGTTACACTTGGAACCAGTCGCCTTCTGGAAAGAAGATACGTACTGCACTTTTGGTCTAAAATGCATAAAAAGTCACATTGTTCAAAAAAACTGCTTTTTCACTGAATTTTGAAGAGCTTGTTTGACTCGAATGGCCCTAGACTTCGCCGAACCTTTGCAGTGAATACCGTGAAAAGCGCTTGAGTCAACATTGCGTGGTCGCTGATATTGATAAGCAGGGTCAAGCGTGGGGAGCGGCACGCCACACCTGGGGGGTCGTATTGAGGAGTCAAAAGGGGAGGGAGGGGGTCGTAGTTGGGTAATCTGATAAAAAGTGATAACATGATATTCGTATCATATCCATAATTAGCATGTCAATTAACCTCTGTAGACAAAGTGTGAGCGAATTCTGAAGATTCAAGATACTAGGCTACCTAAATGAAATGGTCAAATTTCAAAATGGTTAACTTTGTTTCAAAGGTGAACTAGCTATCCGTTTTTGCACTCAAGACAAAACACTACTCCTTCTTTGTCCACCTCAGGAATCCCGCTTCAGAAGACCTGCAAACTGTGGAATTAGAAGCCAACCAAAATCTCGTTTTTCCCATTTTTCGCTTTTGATCGCTGTGTTTTCACCGAATATTACTTAGAGCTAAGAAGACAAATCAGGCTCCAAACAGTCCTATGTAATCTACAAGGTTTAGGCTATCGATTCATATAAACACTGTCTGCTAAAAATGTTTTTTTGATATAGTTGATGGGGTGCGGCACACCCCCTTAACTTGCCTTCAAAATTCAGAAAGCGCTCCATTGCTGGTATGAGTATTGAGCACATTGCTTCTTCTTGCTACATTGGAAATTTGGAGCCGAACGCCCCACCCATAAGAAAATTGTGGCCCTTTCAATATGCCCATTCAGATCAAAATCAGCCGTCAAATTACGTGTGATTGTAAAGTGCAGTCACAGAAAATTGGGCGTACAGCTTTCAGAAATCCGAAAACTCTCTAGAAAAAGATGGTGTCCTCCAGAATGTCACACTTTGAGGTCCAAAGGTTAAGAAGAGTAAGAAGGGGTCGTTTGAGGGTTTTCTTGGGAAGGGGGGGGGGGTTTCGAAAGAGTTGTGCTTGACCTCTTTCTCAACTCTGGTAATGCTATCTTAGGTATATGATTCAGGGGGGGGGGGGTCTTATTATGACAGCAATCAGGGGGGGGGGGGTCGTAACCAGCGATCATGTGCCACACCTCTTGCTTGACCCTGCTTGGCTAACGTTTCGGCGCCAACGCCGTCTTCAGGGCCTGTAACCAAAAACGTATACGTGGCGTACTTACTGAGCCCTCGTTACCGTACGATTCAAACTGAGTTGAGCACGAAACTAGCAAAGAGCTGGAACATGCTTTACCTTATTCGACGTCAGTCGAGAGATTTGACCGCTCGTGGTCAAGCTGTGCAAAATGTGATGGTACGTTTTTGTTCTCCATGCTGTTTATACTTTGGTAATCAAGACCGCAAAGGCTTTAGTACGGTGATAACTCTTTGATTACGGTAATGAACTCGTCCTTTTTATTCATTTTGGGGTTACGTGATGTAATCCAAAATGCTTCGAGTGTCTTGCGTGGGATAGTTTTTTCTTCGTATGACAAGATTGTGGCAACAATTTCAAACGGCATATTATCGTGCGACGCTCTGCTATGTGCACTTAAAGGGGTGGATGCTTTACGTTTTGCGAGCCCAACCAAGTGCTCTTTGATCCGTAGACACAATGATCGGTCGTCCACTCTCTCCCACATATTCTTCACCGCATACTTGACAGGTAATGAGATAGACAACCCCGCGTTCTAAGCAATCACCTGGTCTTCCAAAGGGACATATTACGCAATTTGATGTTGAGCAAATATTGTCATATGCGCGATTGCGAATTAACTGCTTTTTGAGATTGGGAGGAGGGAATTCTACAATTCGTACATTATCTTGCAAGTCTGCTTAATGTAAACTCCTCCTAACAGCTTTGCTAAAGTCGTCCGTTACGAAAGGTATGCAAAAGGATATTTTTTTTGGTGTCTTTCTCATGCGGTATGCATCTATTTGAGGAGTTACCATTAAAGGCAGTGTCCGGGCAAAAACTCGATCTTGAGATTTTTTGCTTACCCCGGCCTATTCGCTACGCTGAATCCGAAAATGCACATTGGAGAGCGCGAAAACGACGAAAAACGGCTCTAACACGGGAGGGAAATCAGCAGGTGGGCGGGGTCCTCCCCACTATGAATTCACGCTCCCAGCTTCCAGAGCGATCTTCTCGGTTCCGATTTCAAGTCATGCATTCGTACCTAGCCGGTGGAGATCTCAGGGTGCTGGGGGAATTGGGAAGTTCGCTCCAGAAGCTGGGACTGCGAAATTCACAGTGGGGAGGACCCCGCCCACTTCCGAATTCCCTCCTGCGTTAGAGCCCTTTTTTGCCGTTTTCGCGTTTTCCAATGTGGATTTTCGGATTCAGCATAGTGAACAGGCCCGGGTAAGCACAAAATTTCAAAATCGACTTTTTGCCCGGACACTGCCTTCAACGCCACTCACTTGCAAATATCCATTAGATAGCGCAACTTCTTTAGCCAACTTAAAAAATGCCGTACGTTCTTCAACGCCAGAAGAGACCTTTTTAGCTGTTTTGAACATATTATTCAGGATAGATCTTTTCATGTTCCGTGGATGTGCTGAACAGTAATGAAATAAGATATTTTTGTTGGTAACTTTCGATACCACTTGTTTTTTCAAATTCCGTTACGTAGATACACCTCAACATTCAGGAAAGCTAGCCAGTTTTGACTAGGCTTTTCGCTGGACTACAAGGTAGACCCATTGTAAACTGTATG